GTGCTGTCTGCATAGCAAAGCAGTCGTTCATCAAATACTTCAGAATGATTACGAGAGAACTGGTTTTTGTTGACAGGCTTATTGCAATAGTGTGTTTAAACTCTGAGTTCTTAACCGTTAGTTTGCATCTCTTAACAGGAAAGCTGACCCTTTCTGGATTTTTTTAGTGATAATGTATCACTTTCTGCTAGCTTGCTAATCTAGTTTCGGAAGAAGGAACCATCGACTGTCGCTGATGCTTCCATTTATTTCATCTCCGAGTGCCTTCATATCACATGACTGGTGGCAATTGCGGGAGAAGAATGGATTGGAGATTGACTTTTTTTGCATCAACGTAGTTTGCAGCACATGACGGCGAATTGGTGCATGAAACGAGCGGAGCTGGTTTTCAAATGTGTCAAGGGATTCATGATGGAAGCTTGCTCGGGTAGCTCAACCGCTGGTGGAGGTGCACCGACTGCAACAACACATTTTAATGTTAATTTTGCGCTACCGCAAGATTTACAAAGTACTATTTTCACGCAGATTCTCGAACTGTTCCCTTCAATATTTCACTTGGTACCCTCTGTGATTATGTGATAATAAATGACTGTACAGTCCGACACGGTTCTGTGCAGAAAGGCTGGTCTTACATTCATGTGGATGTTTTCTGGATGCTGAACGTTGATTCTCGTGGTGTAGTTTGGGCGAGCTGGAATCTTTCATTATCTGTTGGCCCATGACATGCCTGAATTGTTTTCTTTTTGCCCATAACGTGACTGAAGGGGTTTCTTTTTGCTTATAGCGTGATTAAGGCCAGAGGAGAAGATACAGTTAGATTTTGTGTACAGCTAGCATCATACTGGGTTATGCAGTTGTTTTCGTTTCTGAAAAGCTGAAATATGCTGAAGGGATCGATGTTTTTAGCTTCTGCAGTGACTGCTGCGTAAGTAAATCAAAGTTATACAGTCATGGTGGGACCATTCTTGTAAAATCACTGAAATGAAATTACTACACCGGCTGTGCTATTCCTGTAAACTTTTTATGCGTTTTTTGCAGCTATGCAATGCAGAAAACGCATATTGACGAGAGGTTGTCTGTGTGTTCATCTGTACCGATTTTTCATCTCGAGACCGGCAAAAGCTACGGGGCTGAAACTTTGGGGAAATAATCTACATGCACGTACGGGGTCCCATCCCCGAAATTGGCGCCAAAACCCGCGTGGACCCGCGGCCAGCCAAAGC